GATAAGATAGTTCATTGCATCTTTATTAAAAAGTAAAAAGATACAAAGCACAGTACACAGATCAAAGTATGTGTGTATCTATCATATAAACCATAAAAGATAAAAAAAATAAATTATTAATTCTGATAAAACAAATGAAATTACGTGTGTGTTATAAAAAGTAACAAGATTTATATCTATTGCATGAAAATTAGTAAATTTTGTATTTCACTATTAACGATAGTGTAACAATTTTTTCTGATTTTGTCTCAAGATTTTTGTAACTTAAATGAATCACTCTAATTTTTATAAATATTTAATAATTTTTATAAATATTAATATCGAATTGCTGAAAAAGATTTTTGTCTAGGTCTGAGGATGAAATAAATAATTGCAAATTCGAAGGAAGTTTTTAAAGAAATTTAAACCTTTAAATAAATATAGACATTTTTACTTATCGTATTAATATTTTCAAGTATTGAAACTGTAATTAATTAATTAATTTAAAAAAGGAATACTTATATAATTAGAATATTCGTATTTCTTAGAAAATTTCTTAGAGATTGATTTCGTTTGAAAGCCTCCAAACTTTACACTTTTAATTTATGAAATTATGCTCGAATTTTGTTCAGTCTTTCATTTTTACTGAACTGACATTAACATGCTGGACAAGTTGAAAATTATTTTCCACTGACATCTAAATACAGACAATTTTAATAAGTTTTCTCATAGAAATCGAATGTAAGAATTAACAAATTCATTTTTTTGCCTCGCGAACCGAAAGTTCCGTGAGAATGATACAAGCCTCTGTAATCGATCGTGCAGTGTAATTTTCGCCGGTTTTGCTTATCAACGTTTCAAAATTATAACGACTCGGCCATCTGCCAGTGAGAAACGTGTGCGCATTTTTCCCTTCGTCAATCAAACGCGTAAAATTCTATTGGACTTGGCAGATACCGATTTTCGTTGCTTATCGACATTTTGTAATTAACAATCTGCCGCCATCTGCCAGCCGAGTTTATCTAATCATCAGCGTGCTTATAATATCATTTCCGTCAGTTCTGTTTGACCTGCACTTATCCGGACTGATTCGCACAACGATTCCCCACATCCATCGATTTTTCTTCCGACGTATTATTACTCCCGGTTGGCTCGTCTACGCTCACCTCCACCCACGATGTTCCCCCGCTTATATTCGCAAGAAGTTTCTGTTTCAAATTCAAATCGGTAGTCTCGCGTCGACAGCAACTGGGCCATTCTATCGAATCCGGTTGATCGATTCGATGTGTATCAGGTCGATCTGTATACCTTGCTGCAATGGTGAGATTGCTGTCCTCTTTCTGGCGCTTCAAACGAAATTATCGGGTATTTTTTCGGGTGTATCTCGGGTTCGGGTGTACAGGGAGAGTTTTGGCAAAATTTTTCTCAGAAAAAGAAGCGAGGAGACCAGCTCTCTTGCGCGAAATACAATATAAAATAATAATAATATAAAATATGTTGTATTAATATTTGTAATATAATATGAAATGTAAAATGAAATATAATTTTATTACATATTTTATTTTATTATTATATTGTATTATTATATATTATATCAATATTGTAATATATTAATATAAAATATATAATAAAATTATATATATTATTTTATATTGTTATTGTATATTATTTTATATTATATTAATATTATAGTATAGTAGTATAAAATGTTAATAAAATTATATATTTTATTTTATATTTTATATTGTTACTATATATTATATTTTACATTTCATATAATATTAATATTATAACATAATAATATAGATATTAAAATAAAATACATAATAAAATTATACATTTTATTTTATATTTTATATTATTATATATTATTTTTATATTTTATAACAAAATTATATTAAAAATTACAATACAATAATATAAAATATAACATAACAATAACGAATATAAAATGATTTGATATTAAATATCACGTCTATGATATGTTTAGTTACTATTTTTACTTCGCGTTCTGTCTTTCATGATCGTTTTATTTCACATTCAGAATTTTCTCGGGGAACCCGACTCTTTTTCTGGTTCTCGCGCACCTCTATTGCTGTTTGTCTCACTTCGTTCTGCCCTCATTTGTCCACGTTGTTTGATAAACGTATCCTCGTCCGATATCCAGCTTCCCTCGGTGTGTTTTCGAGGTTTATCTGGCAAAATTCGCTGAGCGTAACACTGGAATGCTTCATAGCTCCTTCAGAGTCGCATATCGGTGAAAAATGTCCGGTATATTTCACGCGGAGCACCGTAACTCTTCTAGATCCGCTTGAGGAAAGGTCTGTAAATTGTCAGTCATTTGTAAGTTGGTTCAAACAAATAGGGAGGCGGCGTTCGAATTTTGTCGGAGATGGAGATTTCCTCGGAACGTTTAACCTTTTCGTGTGTGTAGAATTGTCAAAAAGTCGAGTAATAAAATGTAAAATATTTAAAAGAAAAAAAAAAGAAGAGGCAACACGCAACAAATTGAGAGATACATTCATCTTTGAACGTGTACTTTATACTTCAACGTATATATTTTATTTTGTATTCTATATTGTTATTGTACATTATTTTATTATATATTATTTTATATTATATTAATATTATAATATAATAATATAAAATATATAGTAAAGTTATATATTTTATTTTATATTATAACATAATAATATAGATATTAAAATGAAATACATAATAAAATTATATATTTTATTTTATATTTTATATTATTATTATATTATTTTTATATTTTATAACAAAATTATATTAAAATTACAATATAATAATATAAAATATAAAATAATAATGAATATAAAATGATTTTGAAATTAAATATCACGTTTTAGTTTTGATTATAAAGCAGTTATTCTATTATTGATCATAAGAAATATCTATTCCAATATGGACACTTAGAGAGTTAGCATTAATACAATACACATCAGTTTCCAAAATGACAATTAAAATAATAGATTTGGATCTGTACATTATCTTACATCCTTTGTAAGTGATTTTAGATAAACTGGCAGTATGTAGTAACGTAAATTTGCTTCAGCAAATTCTGAGAAATGGCTCGTTTCAAATTTTTTTTTTTTTTTATAGAAAAGTGGTCGACCTGTTTTTAATTCTTTTTTAGAAATTTTGCACATTTATATATATATTGATACTTTTTATTTTTTCGTGAAGTTCGTGTCTTCTGTTATAGACGTTTCTTTGTTCTTCGTGCATGCAGCTTACGTTCCAATTGTCAATAATTCTTTCAATGTTAAATCAATCGCCAGTGTTTGATCGGAAAGATCCAGACAGTCTCAGAAAATCCGTCAAACACTTCAATACCAACTATATTGCCAATGGTACATATATATATATAGATATATATATATATATATATATATATATATATATATATATATATATATATATATATATATATATACATCGTACGTTTGAATCGTAAATCAAGGAAACAACGAGAA